GGTTCTTTCCCATTGCTCACCTTAATTAAATTCAGTGCTGCTCATAGCTCACTGCCCGAGCAACACTTTTGCAAGCTAGTTACCGAGTCCCTGTTTGCTTTCAAGCTACTGTTCTGTCACCTTCATGTACCAACGCTTAGCTTGTTTCCTGTCAGGATTAGCGGTGTCAGGATCCTGACTCCATATCCTCGAATCAGAATCCTGACAATTTGCTTGGGCCATGGACCCAGCTGCTTCTTCCTGATGAACACATCCAGGGTCTTTCCCAATGATTGGAAGCCCAGGAATCTAATGAAGCTCTGTGATGTGATTTATGCAGAAACGTACTGCATATTTTGAGCAACTACAAGTCTCCTGGGTGCCCCCTGTGCCACTACTTCTACCGCAACCAGCTTTTGTTCCAGTCCAATCTCCTCCTACAACCAGTTATTCCTTACACCTTGTGGCACTTTCTTTCTATTCTGGGGATCCCAAGATGTACGATCCATTTTGAACTGCAACCTCACAATTTCCACTTGGATTGAGCCTATATGGCGCTACCCCAAAACAGGATATTAGGGACAGTGCTCAGGGGACCAGCTGATTCTGCAGGAATCTAAAACTTTTAAACATCAAGGAGCAGCATCCATGTAAGTGATTTAATTGGCACTTGAAATAGCTTTAAAACCTTTTGAAAAATACAAAGATATGCGGGATAAGAACATGCATGCAAATTACCATCCAGGAGGTGCTCTTCTTGGAAAGTTGAACATGGAGAAAGACCTGGAGTCCTCATAGACCAAAGATTCATCAATAGCATGCAATGCCAACCAGCAGCTAGAAAAGCCAGCTGAATACTATCCTGCACTAAAAGAGGCATTTTTTGCAAGAGATAAAAACATAAATCTATCACTTTACAAATAACATGTTTGGGCACACCTTGAGTATGCGGTTTAGTTTTGATAACCAATCCTGAGGGATGTGCTTGAACTTGAGGGAGTTCATAGATGGGCAACATGGGGCAATACCGGGGATGGAAGGCCTGGATTATTTAGATCACCTCCAGAAATTAAACTTGTTCTATTTAAATTCATTAATGGGGAATAAATTGTTAAGACTAAGAACTCTAATGAGGACACAAGAGGTTGGATGATAGGCGGTTTAATCTTAGACTGCACAAGGGTTTTTTTAATGCGAGAACAGTAAAAATGTGGATTTCCCTTTCACGGACAGTGGTATCCGCCAATTGCATTGATATATTCAAGAAATTCTTAGATGTGTTTCTAAATTCACTAAAAATAAAAGGATATGGGAACTATTAAAGACATGTATACATACACACACACACACATAGGTTGAACTGAATGGATCTGTGTCTTTATTCAACCTTATCTACTATGTAGTAATAACTCATGTAACCACTTTAACAGACATCTAAAAAAAAAATCTAGGAGATGTGCGATAAACCCCATTCTTTAAAAACAACAAGCAAACAGACAAAACCCTTAGGGGTCTATTCACTAAGCTGCCGTAGGCAGCCGAGTGAATGACCGACCTAAAGCGAAGTGAGCCGAAGGCTATTCACTTCAGGCTGGTACGGCTGATTTCAGCTGTATATCGGCTGAAATCAGCCGTACATTGGGTGGCTTCGGGTTGGCCGAACATGCTCAGCATGTTCGGCCGACCCGAAGTGCAGAAGGAGTTCGACTCAGCCGATCCAACATCTGGATCGGCTAAGCCGAACCTCCTGCAGGCTACTCGCTGCTGTTCAGTTTATTCTTATAGATGCCGAACAGCAGTGAGTGAATAGCCAAATGCCGCTGAGCGGCATTCGGCTCGGCTGTTCTGCTCGGTCCCTCTGTGGTACCGAGCAGAACAGAAATAGTTTAAAAAGTAGAAAAAAAAATAGAAAACGATTGTGCGGAGCTAGCAATGACAGCTATCTCCGCCCAACTGTTTTCTATTGGCCGGCGGTTCTGCTGCCATCCAAAAAAAAACAAAAAACTCCCGGGCGCTCCGGGAATCTCCCGCTCCCGGCCGCCAAGGAGAGAAACACTGCTTTTTTAATTTTTTCTTTATTCTGACACGGAGCCGTGTCAGAATAGAAGCAAAAATACAAAATGTTGGCCATAGGAATGCATTGCTAGATTTCTATTGGCTATTTCAATTTGAATAGCCGATAGCAAACTAGCTATTTTACCCGCGGGTGCGGGTGCAATGCTAGTTTGCTAGGGCGGGTGCAATGCTAGTTTGCTATTGCAAATTGAAATAGCCAATAGAAATCTAGCAATGCATTCCTATGGCCAAAAACGAATTAATTTTTTTTTCTATTCTGACACGGCTCTGTGTCAGAATAACAGCTTCGTGAATAGACCTTCATGTAAGTTTCCACATTGCCAGTTGAGAAGCCTACCAATTGCTGAAAATTGGCCGAGTGAATGACCGATGGATCATATGCTGAATGGTGTGTGTGTGTGTGTGTGTGTGTGTGTGTGTGTGTGTGTGTGTGTGTGGCCAAGTTCGGGAGCTGTGCGGGCTATAGTGAATAGTCCGTACAACAGCCCTTCGGTTCTACTGAACCAAAGGGGTCCTGGGGCCGAAGCATTGGCCAAAGCTACAGCTAGATCCTATGGCAGCTTCGTGAATAGACCCCTTAATGTAAGCTTCCACATTGCCAGTTAAGGAGAAGCCTACCAATTGCTGAAAATGTAAATAAGGGATGTGTACACTTAAATAATCACCTTATTTAGCTTTTCAGGTTCACGATAGTGGGTTAGCTGTGCCGTTTTAAACTTTGATCTGTAGTGATCTGAAAACTACTGGACCAGATATCTATGAAAAAATTGACAACCTATTCTCCACTTATGATCCAGACTGGAAGTAATAAACTGACATCTGTGCTGATGGTACCGAGGCCATGCAAGGTCCAGTTCCTGGAGCCTTTGCACAAATTTTAAGGTTGCTATCCAACTTTCTTGTTAAAGTAGTCAGTGTGTAAGACTACACCTGGCAGTTTGGGTGCTTCTGTGCATGTGCTTAGGCCTGTCTTCCACATTTGGGGGGAACATGCAATAACGCGCATGCACGTCCAACGGCACTTGCGTGCAAAGACGAGCTAATGTGGCGCACAAGATATGGCGCAGCTCCCCTGGATAGATGGCTCTATTTAAACCTGCCTGTTCTATGGATCATATGCTGAATGGTGTGTGTGTGTGTTCCTGCCTGTTCCTGTGTTCTGCTGCCTTGACCTGGATCTCCTTTTGACTACACCAGACTGCTGCCTGCCCCTCACCTCTGCTTGTTCCTGGACTATTCTTCGGCCTGCCGCTCTTGTACTTCGTTGCCAAATTGGTGTTCACCCTGGCCTGCCTGACTCCATCTTGCTCCAACAGTGTTCCTCGCTGTCCTTCCGGCTGCATCCTCACCTGCTTCCTTGGAGACCAACTTCTGGACTTACCCAGGCACAGTGCCCTACACCCTCTGGCACCGGTGCTGCTCTGTCCTCTCACTCCCTGACTCCACTCTCAGGGGTGTGGGACAAGTGTTGCAAAGGAGGCCTCCTTAACAACTTGGTCCTCTACCAGGTATGCGATACAGTGTCTAGTCCACAGAGAAAGTGTGCATGTGATAACCATGAATGCTATGACATATTTCATTTACTGGTTCAAATTCTCAATTTGTGAAATCTAGCACATTGAATAAAAGTTTTTTTCAGACAGATTTGCAATGAGACAGGCAGTATCTCCCTTGCTATTTTATACAGAACTTGGCAAGGTGCTGGTTCAAGTATTTAAAGTACATAGTGAAATCCCTAGGGTTGATTTACTAAAGAAAAAAGCATGTTCACTATCAGAGTGAATTTTCACTTATCTTTGTGATTGAGGTGAAACAGAGTAAAAATGTACTTTGCAAAGAATACCCAATCCTGTGCAAAAAAAAATAAAAAATATCACATCTTTACCTCATGCACTAAACTAAGTGAATTTTCTTTTTGTATAGTAAATGTTCTTTGTAAAGTAAATTTCCTCTTAGTCTAGTGAATGGGGTGAATTGTGCTGACTTCAATCATCTAATCTAATTCATTAAAAGGAGAATTATGAGGTGAGTGATTTTCACTCAGCTTCATAATCTGAGCCGACCTGTGACAATGAAATGTCGGCTCAGTAGATCGGGAAGTGAGCGAACACATACTGGCGCTCGCTCACTTCTGGATCCTGTGCCGGTAGAGAGCCGTGACAGGGGAGGGACTGGATTCCCCCCTCCCCTGTCCGATCCTCCAGCGCTGACTGGCGGAACGGACGGGGCGGGTACAACTGGCTCTGCCTCTAGATAGGCAGAGCCAGCTGTCACTCACGCAGCTGGGTGGATCCAGACATAATTGTCGGGATCCGCTCCGGCGTCTCAGCTGTAGCTCGCGGTATACTTAGCTTTGGGTGACGGGAGGACACTAGTTTGTGTCCTCCAGTTACCCTTAGGAAAACTATGGTGAAAAGCCCTAACCTATAAAAGATAGGTTAGTAAACCCTAAAAGATAAGTGAAAAATTCACTTACATAGTTCAAATCTGTTGTGGGAGCATGGTCTAGTCCTTTAGTAAATCAGGGCCCATATGACCATGCCCACTTTAGTAGTATCATACTGTAGCAGTACGAATATAATGGTACACCTATGACAGCTATTATATTGGCATGGTTAGAATTGTTTGACCACTCAATATAAGCATCAGAAAGTATAAGGTTAAATTACTCTATATGATGAGAGGTAGACCTCTTTGAGCTACTACATAGAGAGTAAAAACCAAGAATTGACTGTTATTTTATAGGGGGGAAAATCTATTTGAAAAGGCTTTAAATTAATATATACATTAACACAACAATAATGGACTAATAATCATTTACAAAAATGTAGGCATACAGTTTTAAACTTGACATGAAGTTTAAAAAAATAAATAAAATGCTTATTTTGTACTGACATGTGAAGATACTTTAATAGATGCCTTTAATTTTTTAATATGTAACTTACCAGTCCATCACAGTTGCTAATGGCAACAGAGGCATTGGCCAGATCTGTTATATCTCCAACATACAGGCAGTTTTTATGATGATGTTCTATTGGAAACACAATGGAATCTTCCTCCCACTCTATTGTAGCTCCAGGTGCAATTAGTTTAGCATTCAGCTTTAACCTTAGATGAAACTCTTTGCCAAAAATAGTAACATTATAATAGATCTTATCACTGGATTCATAATTGGCATCTTCAGCATTCCTTGGAAATCGAGCCCTGTGCCCTCTTGACACTTCATGAGACAAAAAATTCCCCTTTAAATCCGTACTGATTGGTGTTACAATGTTGTATTCTTCTAGCTTCTGCATAAGTGAATCTGAAAAATAAAACACAAGACTTGTGTTGGCACTAAAAATTATGAACATGCAAAAAATCTAACTAACAACAGTTTTTCTATTAGGAAACTGAACTATTATAACTTACTTCCTATGTGTAAAACATAATTAAATTAGCTGTACATTTAAGCTAAACAAACTGCTAAAGTTAAAGTATACTAACTGGAATGGATGACACGTAACCCCTGGAAACTCAGAGCTGTGTTTCATGCTTGTTCAATAGGTGGTTGGTTATGCCACCATTGTGTTAAAATTATATGTACATGCTGTATTTTAAGCACAGTAGGTGATCATTAAAGATGAACAATGCAAACTTTCTCATAATAGGGCATGACCTGAACTGCACTGAATTGCAGCAAATCCTTTATCCAAAACACTTTAAGTGGTTTATGACAAACACACCATCTGTAAACTCTTGACACTGAGCAGGCCTGACCATGCTGCCTTGTAAGGTCTCCTGCCAATCATTCAACCTGGAAGAAAGTCTTTGGGAAACAGCATCAGAGATAAGGTGAGCATTGCAGCAAAAGCTTTTTTGCCTTTACTTTTCACTTCAGCTGCCACAGCCGTATGTCCTTATAGTTGTAAAAAAAAAGTCCTATTCTTTGTGTTTTTTGCATATTAATTGGTATATTTTGTTGTCATTAAAGGAGAACTATGAGGTGAGTGCTTTTCACTCACCTCATAGTTCTAGCCGACCTGTGACAATGAGACTGTCACAGCTCAGTAGATCGGGAGGTGAGCGAACACATACCGGGTTCGCTCACCTCTCGATCCTGTCACGGCTCTCTGCCGTGACAGGGGGAGGGGCTGGATTCCCCTCTCCCCGCTCCGATCTGCCAGCGCTGACTGGCGGAACGGACGGGGGAGGGGGCGGGTACAGCTGGCTCTGCCTCTAGATAGGCAGAGCCAGCTGTCACTCACGCAGCTGGGCGGATCCCGTCATCTAAGTCGGGATCCGCTCCGGCTGCGGCGTCTCAGTATACCGCGAGCTGTAGCTCGTGGTATACTGAGCTTAGGGTAACGGGAGGACGCTAGTTTGTGTCCTCCCGTTACCCTAAGGAGAACTATGGGGAAAAACACTGACCCCATAGTTCTCCTTTAATGATAATAATAAATTAGCACATAAATTACTTCAAAAGAGGGTTCAAAAATAGCATTTTTTAAAAATGTTTAATGCTAGGTGCATGCTTGTGTTGAAGTCTCTCTAAAATGTTTAATGTTGCTATTTTTCAGATGGCGTTTCAGTATTTTCTATGCTTTCTTTCATTTGATTAGTTGGTTCTCTGTTGGTTGTGGTGAACACCGCCTCAACATGCCCCTCTTTTCCCTAATGCACCCTTCGTAAAGTTGGCATATTTTAAATACGATATACGACATGTGCTTGATAAGCCTTGGTGTCCTCCCATTAAACAGGTGGATGTGTTCCCTTGAGGGCGGCCTGTTACCATTATGATGTCTTGTAAATGTAACTGTTATTACTCTTTCAGACAAATTTTTGTTGCTGCTCTGTTGTTACTGAGCATTATACAAAATATCTGTACTCTAACTTTTTGTTCATTTTTTTAGGTTCTTTGACCATTTGCTCATTGTTTGCACATGTTATTATATTTCTTGCATTTTTATATACTTTTGGCTCTTCATTTGAGAGTTATCTACAAATATAACAATTTCCATGACCTATATACTGTGGGCTGAGATGGATACATGCTAACCCGCCATGCTGCAGGATTACTCCTCATGTTACACTGGGAGACAATTCCTAGCCAATCCTCGTCCCTTTTCAGGACACACATTTATTGTTGGGGTTTTTACCCTGCTTCTCTTGTTTCTTTCTTCCTTCTCCTTCCTTTGCTATTCTACCCCTTTTTATCCTCTGGATCCCTTCCACACCCTGACTCCCCCACTGGGGAAAGGACACCCCTGCACATCTTGAACATTGGTGACCCTTTGGGAAACCCTACCTGGCTGTTGGGCATGATATTCTTTAAATTCCTATGACATGGCGCTTAATGCATTAACTTTGAGTAGCTAAGGCTTGAACTCACTGGTCAAGAGGCATACTGTCTCCAGGAAACTCATTCCTTCGCCAGCCCTCTGGTTTTCTAGCTTCAGCCCTGACCAAATAGAGGGATTTTGATTGCTTTTAGGAAAGGGGTAACCCTTCAATGTACTAAGCAACTTACCGATCCGCAGGGCAGATATCTTTTGTTACACGCTCTCTGCAAGGACTGGAAATTATGACCCTGACATATTACTGTATGTCCCAAATACTACTTGGTCCCCTTTCCTTTTTCACCCTTTGGAGCTTCTTTTGCAACATCAAAAAGTTTCTGTTTCTATGTGTACACTCCAACTTAGTTTGAATCCTAAGCTGGAAGAAACCTCCACTAGTCAAGCAAACCAGTCCTCCGATTTGCAGAGATTTAGGGAGATGTTGTCCACACCTGATCTTGGACACTTGGAGGGAATGCCACTCACTCATGACTATATGTATTACTCTGCGCCACAAAACATTTTCAGCAGGATTGACCACATAATTGTACGTAGAAACTTTCCCCATAAATCTTCAAAATTAAACAGACATGTCGGCACGACACGAACACTCAATTTCAGGAAGGCTAACTTAGTAAGCTGAGAATCCTACTAGGAGACATACATTGGGATGCAATCTTCCTGAATACGCACATGAAAGAAAAATGTAATAGTTTCAAGGAAATCTTAAATAACAATTGGCCAATGCATCCCGTTTACCAATAAATTCAAGAACATGAAAGTTAGACCAGGGTGGTTAACTAGCAAGGTAAAACAACACAAAGGAAAAGGCCTTCAAAAATATAAGTCTGAGGGGTCAGCAACAGCATTTAAAAAAAATTTAAAAGATCAATTAGGAATGCCAACATAGAATAAAAAGAGCAGATAGCAACAGAAAGCAAACAGAACCCCAAGAAATGCTTTAAATATATAAATAGCAAAAGGGTAAGGACAGAACATACACAAAAAGAGGAGGTTAGCTACCAGCGACAGGGAGAAAGCAAATGCGTTTAACAAATTATTTTCTTCCGTTTTTACAGATGAGATGAACTTGGGTAATGCCCAGGGCACCAGCTGCAGGACCAATAATAAATGTTTTGATGTATCTCAGTGGGTGTCGGAGAGCAAAGTAGTACAGAGGCTAGAATGATTAAATGTAAACAAATCCCCTGGACCTGACGGGTTACATCTGTGGGTACTCAAGGAACTTAGCCAGGTCATAGGCAGACCACTGTACATAATCTTTATGGACACTAATGACTGGTACGGTACCGGATGATTGGCGGAGAGCATATGTGGTACCCAATATACAAAAAGGGGAAGCAGAGCTTACTGGGTAACTATAGGCCAGTCAGCTTAATGTCAATAGTGTGCAAAATATTCAAAGGCATGATCAGGGACTATATGCAGGAATTTGCAAATAAAACTGGTATGAGTAAAAACAACATGGCTTCATGAAGGACTGTTTTTGTCAGACCAATCTATTAACTTTTTATGAGGTCAGTATTAATTAATTATAGACAGAGAATTACCAGTAGATGTGGTGTATCTGGACTTTGCTAAAGCGTTCGATACAGTACCCCACAAACGTTTGATTCCGAAACTTAGGTCTATCGGTTTGGAGAAAATTGTATGTACATGGGTGGAAAACTGGCAGCAAGAATGTACCCAGAGGATAGTAATGAATGGTTCATCCTCTAATTGGGCAAAAGTCAGGAGTGGGGTGCCCCAGGGGTTGGTCTTGTGACCAATCTTGTTTATCCTATTCATCAACGATATAGAGTAGAGATTGGGATATATAGTTCGACCTCCATTTTTGCTGAAGATACTAAACTTTGTAGGGCAGAAAATTCCAAACATGAGATAACTAAACTTGAACAAGAGCTGGATAAAATTGAAGCATGGGTTACACATTGGCAAATGCGATTTAACATTGAAAAATGCAAGGTAATGCACATGGGTGCAAAGAACGAGTGTGCAAACTATGTGGGCAGGTTGCATTAGAAGGGACGGACATGAAGACCTGGGGGTGCTCATAGATCGCAGATTTGGCAACAGCATGCAATGCCAAGCTGTGGTCAACAAATAAAATAGGATACTGTCCTGCATTAAAAAAGGGATTGTAGCAAGGGATAAAAGAATAATACTACTACTATATAAATCATTAGTTCCGCCTCATCTTGAGTATGCAGTGCAATTTTGGTCGCCAGCTCTCAAGGAAAACGTCCTAGAGCTTGAGAGTTCAAACAGGGGCCATAACATTAATTAACGGGATAGAAGGCCTGAGCTATGAAGACCGCCTCCAACAATTAAATGTATTATCCTTAGAAAAGAGGCACTTAAGAGACCTTATTGCAGTCTTCAAAATCATCAATGGGGACAATATTCGAAACAATAGGATTTTTATACTCACCGTAAAATCCTTTTCTCTCCGTTCATTGAAGGACACAGGGCAACAGATCGTAGATCCTGTATGGTAGGGTATATCACCACCTGCAGGAGAAGGACGCTAGGCACACAAAAGACAAAGACAGCCTAGGGGCGGCCCCTGCTGGTGGCCAAACCCCCCACCTGCTGACAAGTCTCCAGTAAGTAACAAGCAGTTAGGAGTACACACCGGACCTCTGCCCTTCAATGAACGGAGAGAAAAGGATTTTAAGGTGAGTACAAAAGTCCTATTTTCTCTCCCGTTCATTGAAGGACACAGGGCAACAGATCGTAGATCCTGTATGGTAGGGACGTCACCAAGCAATAACACACTGAGGGATGGGCAAAACAACGAAAATTCCCAAAAGACCCCTGAAAGAGCCGCTTGCAACACTTTACGCCCCAACCCAGCATCCGCCGATGCCTAAACATCCACCTTATAAAACTAAGCAAAGGTGTGAATGGAAGACCAAGGAGCGGCCTTAAAACCTGAGAAACAGAGGCACCATGGCGGAAGGCC